AATATTATTATTCATTTTTTTTCCTCATGTCTTTACCTGGCAGTTGCTTTCGGCTATTTTATTTCTTATTTCTTTTATTGTTTTTATTTTTTATTTTTCATTATTATTATTATTTGTATTTTTTTTAAATCATTTTTCCCTCATGTTTTTACCTGGCAGTTGTTTTGTTCTCTATGAATTTTCTTTTTCTTATTTTTTTATTTCTTGTTTTTTTTTTATTGTTATTATTATTATTATTATTATTATTATTATTCATTTTTCCCTCATGTCTTTACCTGGCAGTTATTTTGCTCTTGGCTATGACAGTATGTTTGATTTTCTATAATTCCTTTGTAAACAACTAATTTTTTGTAATAGTTTATTGTAAATTAAAAAATTTAAATTTATTGTAATAATTGTGCAAAAAAATTAACCCACCGACTAATGTGTAGTATCTACGACACAGTCTGGCTTAAGCAGCTGTTCCTGCATTATCGGTAATAGAGCAAATGATAATGGAGAGTGACGTGATGTGGCCAAGTATGGTGACCCATACTCGGAATTAGTGCTCTGCATTTATCCCATCCTAAGTGCACACACACAGCAGTGAACACACACACACCGTGAACACACACCCGGAGCAGTGGGCAGCCATTTTTGCTGCGGCGCCCGGGGAGCAGTTGGGGGTTCGGTGCCTTGCTCAAGGGCACCTCAGTCGTGGTATTGAAGGTGGAAGAGAGTGCTGTACACTTACTCCCCTCACCTACAATCCCTGCCGGTACGAGACTTGAACCCGCAACCTTTGGGTTACGAGTCCGACTCTCTAACCATTAGGCCACGACTTCCCTATGTGCATACATCGACAGTAGGTCAAAGGTTAACAGCAAGCTTTGTTCTGTTGGAAGGGAAATGGAAAGAATAAGAGGCAGCGGAGGAATAAGAGGGAAAGAATGTGTACGAGCAAGGGAACCACTTTTGGCTCCAGAGTCTAGTGTATTTGTGGCTGGATCCCTCCTCCTCTTGCAGCATGCATTCAGCATTTTCCAGACAGAAGCAGAGACATCTGGTCCACATATGTTCATGCTCCAGGACCCTTATAGATGAGATCCCATTGAATGCTAACCCCCTTGAAGTTTCCTCTATAATCTGTAGACCGAAAAACCTCTCAGTCTTTCTCTCTTCCCCATAGCAGAAGAAACCTCTATTTGTGCTTGTTCCGACAAACATTCCAGAACAACATGCTGTCTGGGCCAAAGCAACCCACTTGTAAATAAGATCTCAGTCTTCCTAGCAACCAAAAA